CTGCTTGTGCTCTCTCATGCGCGCGCTCTCAAATAAAATCTTTTAAAAAATAATTATCTTGATAGTTTTCCATGGTGTCCCAAATAAAAAACAAGTTCAATGGAAGTAACACCAAGCTCTTAAGAGGGTTGGGTTATAGTCTCAGTTCTGTCCCTGATATTCACCTCTACATGCAGTCTGTTTCCTCATCTGTAAGCAAGAGCACCACGGTAATTAGTCTAGGGGATTTTGAATGTTGCTCACAACATGGGTGGTATTTCTTCCCATTTAAAACCTGAAGATGCAAGGATCACTCTAGTTAAGTGATTTGCTCGGAGCTGCTCAGCAAGTAGAGCAGCTTGAATAGAAGAATGCTTATGGACTTAAAGCTCTTTCTACCACCTCCCTGTAAAATAAGGTTGTCTGAAATGGCTCCCTTCCTGCGCTAATACAGTAACCATTAGCTTTCAATTAAATGACATTATAAATTGTTCCTCAGTCACACTAACCATATTTCAAGTGCTCAATAGGTAGATGTAGCTAGTGGCTGCCCTACTGGTCCATGAAGATTATAGGACATTTCCACCAGCACAGTTTTATTGGCTAGGTTAGGACTTTCAGTCAGCACTTGGCTTCTATGATTCCTTGACCTATCAATCTGGCATTCTGGCCTTCCAGAGTCTGTCCCCAGCTGTCCTTTACTGTTGACAAACTCTTTATGTGCCTGCCAGACTGGGCGTTATTTCTGTGTCCCCCACTATACATAACATAGTGCCTTCCATAGTGAGTCAACATTTGGATGGATGGATAGATGGACAGACAGAAGAAAGGAAGAATGGATGGGTGAGAGGGAGAGAGGGAAGAAGGGAGTGGCATTCACTCATGTTTTCATTAGATAATTGTGTTTGGTTTTTTTTTTATGTTCAGTTAGCCAACATATTAGTTTTTGATGTAGTGTTCAACAATTCATAAATGTTTATTGAGTATCTACCATATGCTCTTCTAAGATTCCTGGGATTGCTATGATTACCAGACATGGTCTTGTGAAATTTTCTGTCTGGGTTTCTGTCTGGGAGGGTAGAACAGAGAACAGATCTTAAAGAAAGTTGATAAGTAAATAAAAATTCAGACAGTGATATGTTATGAGAAAAATGAGCATATTGTGCTGAGCAACCAGGAGACTGTAGACTGGGAAAACTATAGATGTAGCAGTCTCTAATGAGGTGTACTATTTGACCTCTGACCTGAATAATCAGAAGAAGCCAACTATATGAAGTTCTGGGTGGAACATGTTCTATGAAGAAGGAACTTTGTTGTTGAAATGATTTTGCATATTTTGACAAAATATCTTATGTCTCAGTCTCAACTTCTGATGTATCTGCCAGTGTAAATCTCATTTTATAGTCTTAATAAAATTACCCTGAAGGAAGGATGCAACAAGGAATGGGGACAACATTTAGGAAGACAGAATTAATATAGTCTATTAAAGTTTAAATGGTATTTATCTTCTGTGATGTTTCTCTTCTCTTGTACAGTTTTGTTCCTGGACCATATAAAACTACCTTCAAAGAAGATGCATTACAGAAGGCAAAGTTCTTTCAAGATAAAAAGTATCTTTCAAGAGTAGCAAGAGACAGCAGAGATGATACTATTCAAAATCTTACCAGAAACTCATTCCATACCTTTAAAAATGGAAAAAAGGTGATAAAACCTGCTCCAAAACAACATGATAAAGGAAGTGCTTTAAGAATTTAGCCTTAGGAAGCATGGTAAGACTCTGGACTTAAGTAACTCAATTCACTGCCATAACTATGGGCAACTTTTATTTGGATATCCACCCATATCCAGACGTCCACTCTGGAGGGCTGGACAAAACACAGGTTGTAGATTATCAGGCAATTTGATCCCTTGCACTCATTGGCATTAAGATCGATCTTGTCCATTTCTTTGAGCACTTCTCCTAATTCCAGCACTCTGATACATTCAAGAACTGTTATCATTAAAAGATGGAAGAATGAAAGAAGTGTTCTGAGAAGTCCAATGGAGATATAATCTGAAGGTAAATTTTAAATAGTATATACATGAGCCAATGCTAATTCTTTTGATTGCAGGTCTCTGTCCAGTCCACTTTCTGCGAACCAAGGTTTCATTCTCTAGTACTGTTTAATGCTCATCTGTTTAACCAAAGGTTAATGTTTTGAAAAACCCCAAAATTTACATTTACAAATTGATGCTTGTATGTCATAATTTTGATAATTTGGCTTTCCCTGATACCATTTAAACATATCACTGTCTGTGTGTGGAGTGTCCAGCTTTCTGATAGGCTTATGCTGGAAGGTCTCCTCCCACTTTCTGCAGTTGTTTGCTTGGACAGGTAAGAAGTAGAGAGTAATTTTCTCTGCTCCAATTCCTCCTTAATTCACTGAGAAACTTGTTAATTCCCCCAAAACATAAATAATTGCTTTTGAGCTAGAACTTCCCTCATTTTATACAGCCTCCTGCCTGGCTCTTTTGATGGACTTTTATTCTTTACCATTATTGTTATATATATATCATTTTTCACTAATCCATATATTCTTTAGACAAGGAGAGTAAAGACAACTGGTCATGGGTAAAGCTGAGTTAACTTTTACCCATCAGGTAGCTATTTAGTCAATAGTGAACAGTATCAAACAGGACTGACCAAGATCTAAATGGAGTCTTAAATGCATATTGAGTTTGGAAAAGATAAAGTTGTTAATGTTTTAATCCACAAATCCATTTGGGGTTGCAGAGCTGTACAGAGATGAGAGTAAGTTAAAGCAGGAAAGCTAGGCATTCCAAATGCCTAGCCTCCAAGAGCATTCTGACAGCTTGCTCCCTCCTACCTCCAGATCACAAAACTAATTCTTAATCTTACGATGGGCTAATATTTTCAACAACTAAAGACCAAATTAGCATTATTTAATTTAGACACAATGTTTGGACCTTACCTCAAATTCCCAGAGCTGGCTCCAGAGTTGGTAGCAATGGCCTTCCTTGGCAGAACATCACTCTCTTCAGCGAGGGAGACCCTGCTTGGATGCATGGGGCAGATGGCTACTGGCACCTTAGACCAGTAGGTGGTTTTCTTTTCTATATCTCTCTTTATAAAAGCTAGGAAAGAAAGGCCATCTCCACTGTGTTTTAAAACCACTTCTGCCATCCTTACTCAGGCAACTTCATAGAGTTAGCTCCCAATGTCTTCAGAGGGGCAAGGAGTTAAAATGTCATATTCATACTCAGGAAACAGAGGAGAAGACAGCACATCAGGTTTCTTCATATCCTAAGCGGTTCTTAGGGGTTCAGGAAAAATTTATGTTTCAAGTGAATGAAATTGAGCAATATTTAAGAGGTATTTTAATAAAAGGGATTTTTCTGGTAAACTTTGGATTAAGCAAAAGCTCTTCCTGTTTACTGCTAGAAATACTTTAAGAATGTATTTGTCTATTTTTTCTGCATTGATAAGTAAAATACACCAAAAATTTTTGCCCTTGGTAATTGAGATTATTTTAGCATTTTGGGTCTTTTTAATCCTTAATAGATTAAGGGTCTGAAACATACTGTAAATGTTAAGTTCCTTTTTTAAAATCCCTAATTTTAGCATTTCCCATGGTTTACCTCTTTCTCTAGAAGGGAAAAGCCGTAAAAATTTGAATGTAAATTAAACAAACCCCTATTTAAACCGAGAATCACACAAATAAGCAGTAGTGCTTCCTGGTTTAAACATGTAAATTAATTAACTATAAAGGACATGCCTCCTGTTATCTCTGCACTAAGCTATGAGTCAAACATGTTTAAAAAAAAAAAAGTCAAAAAAAAGATGCAACTCAACATGGCCTTAGATTGCAATACTCAGTAACAATTCAACCAAATGACCCCCTTTTCTAAAAGGGGAGTTTAAGTGGGAAGAGGAATGGATGGCAGGAAGATAAAGGGAGAAAGGGATTACATCTCCACCGGCCCACTCCATTTTCCCCTCAGCATGTTTTGTCAGTTATATGGCTTTGCTAAGCTTCCAGGCTTGAAGCCCTTCTCAGTCCAAAGGTTTGTCTCAAACAAGTGACCTCCAACCTCTGCAGAACAAAATCTGACTTCGTAGCTAGAAACTCTGGATATATGGTCTTAACAGACACGAAGGGAAGCAGATGCAATGTAACAGGACAATGTCAAATTTGCAAATCCTACTGTTCCACCAGCTATCTAGCCTTGTCAAGGTCCAGACTCCTCTAACTCAGGCCTCTGTGAATGACAGGGTTTTCTGATGAGTTTAGACAGGTAAACACAAAACTAAGTGCACTGAATCATGAAGTCAGACCTATGTACTGCAAACTGTCATGTACCATAACTGAATCATATAATTACAGAAAATTAAATTTGCATATTTAAGTACTATTTTCCCCCAGAGGCAGATTATCTACTTAACTTTTTGGTTTACAGACTCATGTAACTAATTTAAAAATGAAGTATCTTAAACACCATAAACCCTTTAGCAAATGGATGACAAATGTGAAGAGACAATTAGGTTCATGTACAAATAATAATTGATAAGCTTGAGGGGTTTATTTTGTGGGAAAGGCCAATTTTGGTCTTCAAAAGTGTAATGTTTGGCATGTTTTTAACAGCTTAGTCCTTTGTTTTTCATGCATTTAATAAATAACTGACACTGGATAAAAGCAAGCTGATGGGCTAAGTAAGTTTCAGAATTTATAGTACAGCCTATAAAAAATGATGACCAAGGAGAGACATTTTTCGAGGGCTGATACACAGATCAGTTCTAGTGTTAAATAATAAGGCAGACGACTATAAAACAGGAAGAAAGACACGATAAAGCAGAAAGAACAAAATGCTGAGAGTCCAGAAATGTGGGCCTAAGGCCTACTTCTGTCACGGATTCTTTGTGACACTGAGTCCATTTCTTCAGAACAAATACTGCCGAGGAGTTTATTCTTCTGCTCAAGTTTACTGTTTAAGACACCAACAAAAACAAAAACAAAAAACCCTTAAGATGCCTGAATACAGTTTATTGGCTGGTTTGAATAGCACTTTTAATAGCAAAAATGTGTTTACATTGTCATAACTTACAACCATCTTTTTCAATACAAAGTAAAATATGTCTTAGCAATTTAAATTCCTCACCTCTTTGACCTATACAATAAAAAGTCCCAGATACTGTTGTCTGGCCGATTCCTGCAGAAATATGCATGAGTATATTAGTTGAGTGCAACTTCCTTAACCACCCTGGAGGGGATCTGTTTAATCATGAAACGGTAATATACAGACATAATTTTGAAAAGGAAATGAATTTCACTTTTGTCCTCTAAAAATACCTTTGCTCTCAAGTTACAGTATACATATAACTTTATTACATATTATACAAACCACTAGGTTTTCATTTCCACACCTTAACAATCCCATCTCTAGATGCAGTTACAATGAAGCCCTGTGTTGTCTGGAAGGTGGCCACATCTGTGATGATGTCATGATGTCCCACAGGCAGAGATTCTGGGCCCCTCCGAGGGGTGTCATCACTCGGTCCTACCTTCTGCTTATTCTGGATCTCCTGTTTCATGGTTAAAAGTCAGGGAGGAAAAAAAAAAAGGGAGAAAGCCAGAGGTTAAAAGCCTGTACCACATTGTACCTCTTCTCTATATTGTTGCTTCTGGGACAGGTTGTTGTCGTTAAAGCTAAAACTTCCTGTGAAGTAGTCAACCTTTCACAAACTGAGTAAAGAGTCCAAAATGATAGTGTTTTCCACGAGTAGCCACTTATAAATATGTACAGATCTTGGCTTGTTTATAAATTTTCTGTATTACCTTTTGTCCCTATCAAAAGGAAAAAGGGAAAGCCTATAATAAAGGGGTGTAAATGACCAGAATATTGACGTAAATATTAATCTATCATAAAGGAAGCTTTCATTCATTTACTGAGCACCTTCTAGACCCAGGCACTTTCAGATTCATTATCTCACTTGAAGTTTTTGCCCAACTCAAGAACACAAGCTTTGGAGTTCCAACAACCAGGACTGAATCCCAGCTCTGCTGCCTAATACCTGGATGATCTTAGATAAGTTACTTCATGGTGCTTAACTTTCTTATTTGTAGAAGGAAAGTAATAAAGGTACTTATTAATTGTTGTGAGGACTGAGCAAGTATATTAAGTGCTTACTTCAAACTATGTACTTATGTGTGTGCCTTCAGTATGTTTATTATACCTTAATAAAAGTGAATTTCAAAAAGTACAGAAAAGCCAAGAGAAAATAAACATGTTCCTTAAATACTACCAGTCATTTTTGCGCCTACAGAAGTTGAAAGAAAACAAGACTGCTTGTACCTGGACAACTTCAGTGCCTTCAATTATTTTCCTATAGTAGGACACAGATGAAGAACTAGTACTTCCTGCAACAACATAGGACCTCTCTGGGTAAGCCAGGTCCCAAAACCTAGGGAAGATGAAACGAATACTGATCATCTCTGGAGAAGGGGAGGAACTAATGATCATTAACTTACATTCACCAATACATAACTTATTTTCTTTTGCATTAGGAAAAGAGATTTTTCGTAGAATAGCATAAAATTAGGGACACATGAAGTATTAACAGCTATTCCTGCAAGATGTGGAGGATTTTAAACATTACATTTATAATACCGTGGTATTAACCAGAGTATCCACATATTATCTTTCTCCTTTTAAGTGTTACACAGTTAAGTATCCGTTATCACATATTATACCTTATTTTCATGTCTGAGCCAGCTGTTAGCAGGATGGGATTTCCATCCGCTGGACTACAGTAGATACCATGGACACTGTGAGGAGAGGGCTTTAAAAAGAAAGAAATAGGAATCAAATTAAAGATACCAGTGTATTCCCTAAGTGGTGCCATTTCTAGAAACAAGTCAACTGGCAGCAGCTTTCCAGGCACCTGATTAACTGAAGAAATGAGAGACCATTTATGTATATCTTCTAGACGACTTTCTTTGGGACCTTAAAATGCATTTACTTTGTATCATTCTGAATAAAGAGGCAAAACCTCTTCAGCCTCTTAACATTTTCTATTTGGGAGGACTCCAACTAAAGGAGAAAAAAACCTCTTTCCTACCTTTTGCCCCAATGAAGCACCCGGGGTGGCAACCTGAAAAAAGTGTAGGTAAGAGGGTCACGTTCCAATTATCCCAGATTTTTACTGGGGCTCCACAGACCTCACAAACCTTACGGAGCTAGCAACCAAACCCCCCAGACATTAGTAAGCCTGAGGAACAGGAAAGCCACCTAATACTAATTTAAAACACAACCCAAAAGCCTAACAGATACAAGGTTTGGTAAAGTGCCTGAAAGTGCTTGGGATGTGGGAAATTCAACTGCCTTTAGAGTAAAAACTGGAGGCAAACCTGTAACTCAGAGAGTGGCGGTGCACTGCTAGCCCAGAGAGTGAATCTTCTGTCGCCAGTCTCCATGTCCCACATGGATACTTCATTGTTGCCCTGCACAGCTAAGGGAAACAGGCCAGAACCATTACTCAGACCGGAGCACTACTCTCAGAGCTTCCACATCTTGGTAGATAATCCAAGTCAGCCTGTACCGCTTTCCATTTTTCCGATCCTGCAAAAAACGCTCACTCTACTTTTAAATAACATCGTGACCCTGTCACCAGGCTGGAGGGCAAAAGGTATTTTCCAGTAAATATTTACTGTTGTACAACACAGTGAAGAGAACTGTGGGGTAGAAAGGTGAATCCTAAACAGATTCTACTCTCAAGAAACCTACAGTCTAGAAGTAGAGAAAAAATATATATAAAGGATAAGACAATGAGAGCAAAAAGAACTGCAGAGTTCCACCTGAACTCAAGGAAAAGATCCCCTCGGTTGGCAAGAATCGAGGTCACCTCATGGAGACGTTCTCACCGGGATTGAAAGAACAAGTAGAGCTGGGCAGATACAGGTGGCATACAAGTAAATCATTTCAGGCAGAAAGAATGTTTTGTGGTCTTTGGGAAAATGAGTAATCGGTGTGACTGAAGCACATCTGTGATAGGGAGGAAGGGTGGGAGATGAAGGCAGGGGAAGATTACGGAAAAAGGAAACTGTGGGCCCGAGAAAGACATTATCCCTTAGTTATTTTTGAGCAGGAGGACTGACAATACTTCATTCCTTCATTAACATTTACTGAATCAACAATGTTTATTATGAGCTCATCCCTGTCCTAGATGCTGAGGAAGATGAGGCAAAAAATGCAAAAAATTCCGTTTCATGGAACTTACATTCTAGTGGGGACAATAAACCAAAAAAATGCAAAGGCCCTGAATCAGGAATGTGCTTAGTTCAAGGAGAAAGCCAGAAAGCCCCTGTAGCTGGGGCAGCCTGAGCATGGGGGAGGGGCAGGAAAAGGCACAGGAGGGCTGGCCACATTCCACTCGCCATTCCAAGGCTGATCCATGGGGGCCACATCAACAGGCTGCTGTGCCCTCTGGCTTCTACATGGGTTTGGCCTGTGGTAAACGAAAAGCCCCCCAAATAAGTAGGCCCTAATCTCCGGAGACTATAAATGTCACCTTATATCGTATAGTGACTTTGCAGATATGATTAAGGGCCTCGAGATGGGATTTTCCTGGGTTGTTCAGGTGAGCCCTAAATGCAATCACAGTGTCCTTAGAAGGGGGAGGCAGACTTGACAGCAGAAGACAAAAGGACAATGGAGCAAGATGCTATGGTGGTGGCTCTGAAGATGGAAGAAGGGGCCACAAGCCAAGGCAAGCAGCTGCAGAAGCAGGAAAAGGCCAGGGAATGGATTCTCCCCTAGACCCTGCAGGGGTAATGTGGTCCTGCTCCCACCTTGAATTTGGCTCAGCAAAACTCATTTCAAACTTCTGGCCTCCAGAACCGTTAGAGTATAAATGTGTGTTATTTTAAGCTACCAACTTTGTGGTTATTTATTACACCTAAGAATAAAATGGTCATAGGAAACTAATACAGGCCTATGGAAACCACAGTAGGAGGCCAAAGGGAGAGATGAATGTCTCATCTCAGATTGGCTGTGTCCCTCATGTCAAAATCACCTCTTCTCTCAAGGTGGCCCTCTCTACTCACCTTCTCTGCAAACTCCAGTGACCACCATTCCCTCCCCTCCTGTCTTCTAATACCAGCCCTATTTCATTGTGCTTTTATGATACCTCTATACCCATACTTCCACCAATAGTTCCTTTGAAAATAAATCCTCAAATTATCCTACCTTGAGTATGCCATCGGTTTCCTGTTGGAACCCTGACCAATAAAAAAAGGTCAGAGAGGTAGCAGGGGCAGATCCCCATTAAGCCTCTGGGCCATTAGTAAGGAGTTTGGCTGTAACTTAGAATGGGAAGGTACTGAGCAGCAGTCTTAAGAAGTAAGGATTAAAGCAGGGAGTTAAAGCATATTGTATTAATAGGGACAAGAGATTATGGTGGTTTGGATAAGGGAGACAGTGATGGAAATAGTAAAAAGTGGTCAGATTCTGAATATATTTTAGGACCATACAGGACTGACTGATAGACTAGAAGGAAGATGAGAGAGAAGAATCAAGGACACCACCAGGCTTCTTCCTGAGCACTGTGCATAAAAGAGCTGTCATTTACTGGGACAATACTGTGGGAAGAATGGTTTTGTCTCGGGGTAAGGAAACCAAGTATTCGGTTTGGACATGTCAAATTTAAGGTGCCTATTAGACATCTTAGGGGAGATTTTAAGTAGCTATAAAACTGAATAAATGTGGTATTTAAAGCATGGGACTAGACAAGATCATAGAGCAAAGCCAGTGTAGGAGGAGAAGGGTTTAGGACCAAAGACTGAGCCCTGAGGCAGTTGAGCAGGCCACAATTTAAAAGAAAATTGGGAAATCAGCAGCAAATCAATGAATAGGAGAAGCAAGAAAGTGATGTCCTCGAAGTCAAGTAAGGAAAGTAGTTCAGAAAGAGGAAACTATCAACTGACCAATGAGAGGCGAGCAGAGTAATGGCCATCAAATTTGGCAACACGGAGACTTTGACAGCAGCAGCGTACGAGCTGGTCTATGTGTATGAGAAGGGACCAAAGAGTCTACATGCAAGACAACCAATGAAAAGACATAAGAATAACAAGAGCTACTATTTATCAAGCACTACATGTATGCCAGACTGTGTGCTTCACAATGTTTTCTCTCAAATTCTTACAACTCCGCTAGGAAAGTTTTGTTTTTTTTTTTTAAAGATTTTATTTATTTATTTGACAGAGACAGAGACAGCAAGAGAGGGAACACAAGCAGGGGGAGTGGGAGAGGGAGAAGCAAGCTTCCCGCTGAGCAGGGAGCCCAATGTGGGGCTTGATCCCAGGATCCTGGGATCATGACCCGAGCCGAAGGCAGACGCTTAACCACTGAGCCACCCAGGCGCCCCTTAACCACATTTTACAGATAAGGATTAAGTAAGTTTCAAAAACCTGCCAACAAGAAAATACAGATGTCCAATGAGGGGAGGGATCGGAAGGAAAGCTTGCAAAAAACGCAACAGAAACACATCAACAAGAAATGGCAACTGACAAGGATGAGTCAAGATTTCTAACTTAGATTTCTAAGAAGATGGTGGCAGCTTTAACAAAAATATTGAAGAAAGAAAACAAATGGAAGGTAATGGTAGCAATTAATAAGATCATTTTTAAAGATAATAAATTTGAAATGACAGTGAGATAGCAGTGGTAGGAACTTCCATCATCAGAACAAAACAAAATCAAACATTTGGTTCGCATGTAAAATAAAAACTCTAAGAATATGAGTCTTGGCAGCAGGATATTATGCACTTTCAAAAAAAAAAATCCCCAACACCTGAAAGCCAGCCCTCCATTTTACCTGCAATCACCCAAGACTGATACAGAGGGTGCATTGAAAGGCGTCTGATTCGAGCCCTGGAAGGATGACAGTGACTGGAAATTGGCAACTGGAACCTCATGTCCCAACAAGCCATAGTACCACTGCTTGTACCTTAAAGGAAAAAAAAAAAAGTCAAAAAGATTACCATATAATGATTAAAGTACATCAAGCTGCATTTATACAAATAATAAATAGCATTAGCTTTGTGCAATGTATGTTACTCTTTGTTCTCCTGAAGCTGCCTCCTGGTGTCACACAGCACTTCTAGTTATTAAATAAAGATATAAAAATATAAAAGATCACAATGCTACTATATAACTGTCTAATAAATGTAAATTGAAAGTGAAAAATTCATTAATTACACCGGTATTAACTGCCAAAGGCAGACACAAAAAACAAAAGGTCTAGAGAAGATATAAACTGCATTTGATAGGTCAAAATGTTCAGAATGCCTTAAATCACCAAAGATGTGTTACTGGCATTTAGTGACCACTTTACCAACCCCACAGTGGCAGCAGCTTTGTACCTATCATCAGCCATCAATCATTTCTATGTGCCCTTTTCTCCAAAAGATTCTGGAAACAGGTATGGGTAGCCAATCACAGCAGAAACTGCAGTGAGTACCTGAACATCTGCCCATGACAAACCCCACAGAGAAGCCTCCCATCCCCAAAGAATAACGCCAACCCTGACACTGAACAGCTGGTCCTGACAGAGTCACAGAGCGTATTCTTGGGACTGGTCTCCAATTTATTTTTTATTTTATTTTATTTTATTATGTTATGTTAATCACCATACATCACATCATTAGTTTTTGATGTAGTGTTCCATGATTCATTGTTTGTGTATAACACCCAGTGCTCCATGCAGAGCGTGCCCTCTTTAATACCCATCACCAGGCTAACCCATCCTCCCACCCCCCCCCCCTAGAACCTTCAGTTTGTTTTTCAGAGTCCATCGTCTCTCATGGTTCGTCTCCCCCTCCGATCCCCCCCTTCCCCTCCTGCTTTTTTTTTTTTCCTTAATATATATTGCATTATTTGTTTCAGAGATACAGGTCTGTGATTCAACAGTCTTGCACAATTCACAACGCTCACCATAGCACATACCCTCCCCAATGTCTATCACCCAGCCACCCCATCCCTCCCACCCCCACCACTCCAGCAACCCTCCGTCTGTTTCCTGAGATTAAGAATTCCTCAGGTCAGTGAGATCATACGATACATGTCTTTCTCTGATTGACTTATTTCACTCAGCCTAACACCCTCCAGTTCCATCCACGTCGTTGCAAATGGTCTCCAATTTAATGGAGATACTGGGAGTGTGAAAAGGCAAAAGGGCAACAGGGTCCCTCCATCACCCTGCCCCACTGCAGGACAATGGCTCAAACAGCCGTAGGTAGTTTAGCACCCTCAAAACTGATCAGGGTACCTGAGAGCTATCACTGCCATTTACTAAGTTGCTCACAGAGTTTCTACCTACTCATAGGCCTGGCATCACATCTTCCTGTACCCGTGCAGTTTATTCACACAAAAGGCAAACACAATGTATTCCATATAAACTATATAAAAAGAAATAAAAGGGCAGATACTTAATATCATAAATGTAAGTTAGGGAATCTAGAAACCAAAATTCAAACACAACAGATTATAATTCTTCAGAAAGTATGCCAAATGGGAAAAAGTGAGATGTGATACATTCTCAAGGGGCAGGTTCAAAGCCTTATGAGGGTAAAATGTGAAACTAAAACAGAAAAGTAGCCAGCAAGATTACATGATACACCTTCAGCCTTTAAGAAAGGGAGGCAAGAAGGAATAGGGCAATAAACCGATGTTTAGCTCTTCTCCAGTACCAGGCCCCTGTGATGGATGCTTTTACCTCATTAAATCCTCAAAGCAGCCCTTGAAAGGATTAGCCCCATTTGAAGATGAGGATCCTAACACTCAGGAGTTACGCAGCTTGCCTGGGGTTACTGGAATTTGAAACCAAGTCTGCCCAAACTCAAATGCTCTCATCCATAAATCAAGCCTGCTGCTTCCCTGGCAGGATAACAGAATGCCACCAAATCTAATCACTATAATGATTATAAAGAGGCTCATTTAAGAACAAAGAGAAAAAGGAAATTTTTATGCATTGGGATAGTGATATCTTCCAAATCTTTTTTTTTTCTTTTAAATGAAAAAAATTAAATTGCAAGTGGTTGTAACATAATAATCACTTAAAAAAAAAAAAAAAAAAGGAGATGGGGAAGGTGCCTTGGTTTTGGCTCAGGTCATGATCTCAGGGTTGTCAGTCTGAGCCCTGTGTCGGGCTCTGAGCTGAACGTGGAGCCTGGCTGAGATTCTCCCTCTCTCTCTCCTTTCCCCCATCTCCACCCCCGTGCTCTTCCTCTCCAAAAAGAAAAAAGAGAGAGAGAGAAAATTATCAATGAAGAAAAAGGAAAAAAATTCCACAAGAAGGCAATTCCAGACATTAGTGGCATTCGCAACCCAGTCAATGACTTTGAAGTCAGCTCACCAATGCAGAGCCAGCACTGGTGGATGTCCACAGCAAAGGAAGTGATGAGGCCTGACTTCAGATCATGCTTTAGTGTCCATGCATTGCTTGAAGACCTGAGGTCCCAACCAACTAGAGAGCCATTCACAGTGGCATAGGCCAGAACGGACTGTGCCCCGGAGTTGAAGTGATGCATATCCACGACACAGCCATCGTCCTTCTGGTCTAGAATTCTAAAGAAATACGCAAAGCAAAAGGTAAAGATTTTTCTGGTCACTGAAAACATAGCACCAGCCTCTATTTAAGATGAATTTATATTCTAACCATAGGCAAGAAATAACAACTCTAACCCATCAAGCCAATGATACCTGAGGCATTTTTTAAAATAACTTGACTTACAGAAGAGTTGCAAAAATAGTACAGAGAATTCTTGTATATCCTTCACGTAGCTCCCCTCATGTTAATACCCTACATAACCATAAAAAATTTATCAAAACTAAGAAATTAACCTTGGTACAGTACTAGTAAAATATAGAACACGAATTTTTATTAGCTTTCCACTCATGTCCTTTTACTGTTCCAGGATCCAAAACAAGATACCATATAGCATTTAGTTGTCACGTCTCTTTCTATCTGACCCTAGCCTTTGATTGTCTTTCATGATTGTGACATTTTTCAAGACTACTGGTTATTTTATAGAATGTCCCTCCATTTGGGTTTGCCCATGTGTTCTCAATCAGTTTATGCCTTATTGGAAGACCACGAAATAAAATCCTTCTCCGTGCATTTATGAGGAGGTACCTGATATTAATTAGAACATATTAGTGGTGATGTTAACCTTAATCATCTGGCTAAGGTGGTGTCTACCAAGATTTTCCACTGTAAAATTATTTTTCCATTTATAACTACTCAATCTTTAGGGCAAATACTTTTGAGACCATATAAAAATCCCGTTTCTGCTTAAAGTTTTGTCAACATATTTTAGGATCCTTTGATAGATCATAGGTGTGGTGTTCTAATGGTCACTATTGCCCTCATTCCTTCTATACTTAGTGATCAGAATTTTTCTATAAAGAAGAATTGTCACTTCATCCCCCATTAATTTTACTTATTCATTTACTTATTTATATCAGTATGGACTCATGGATATTTATTTTATTCTCTGAGTTATAATAGTATTATTATTGTTTTGTTGCTCAAGTTGTTCCAACTTTGGCCACAGAAAGCTCTCTCAGGTTGGCTCCAATGCCCTTTCAGTATGCTTTTTTGAACCACTTCCTAACTTTCTGGCATCACAATATACTCAAGACTCATCTTGTATTTTCACTGCCCAGCCCTGGAATCGACCAGTTCTCCAAGGAGCCCCAGTTCCTTTTATGGGAGAATGGTATTTAAAGATTTATTTATTTATTAGATAGAGAGAGAAGAGAATATCGAGCATCCTGCTGAGCGCAGAGCCTGACACAGGGCTCAATCCCATGACCCTGAGAATCATTACCTGAGCCGAAATCAAGAGTCAGATGCTCAACCGACTAAGCCACCCAGGTGCCTGGGAGAATGGTGTTTAAAAACCAAAGTCTGTGTGTGCTAAGTGTTCATTGCTATGGGGGGGCTGTCCCTGCTCCAGTCCCTCTCAATGGCCAGAGCTAGAAAATATAGATACAGTGGGTGCCTGGGTGGCTCAGTCGTTAAGCGTCTGCCTTCGGCTCAGGTCATGATCCCAGGGTCCTGGGATTGAGTCCCACGTCGGGCTCCCTGCTCAGCAGGAAGCCTGCTTCCCCTCTCCCACTCCCCCTGCTTGTGTTCCTGCTCTTGCTATCTCTCTCTCTCTGTCAAATAAATAAATAAAATCTTAAAAAAAAAAGAAAAAAAGAAAATATAGATACGACACCTGATGCCTGCACATATTATCTGTACTTCAGTATCTTTTTATGTGTATGTGTGCATATGTATACAAACATACACATATATACATATGCATATACATGTATCATGAGTCCATATTGATACTGAGTCCATACTGATATCTATCCAGCACCAGGGTTCATTCTAGCCATCCCCTTTTCATATATTTTTTTTTTTAAAGATTTTATTTATTTATTTGACAGAGAGAGACACAGCGAGAGAGGGAACACATGCAGGGGCAGTGGGAGAGGGAGAAGCAGGCTTCCCACTGAGCAGGGAGCCCAATGCGGGGCTTGATCCCAGGACCCTGGGATCATGACCTGAGTCGAAGGCAGACACTTAACAACTGAGCCACCCAGGCGCCCCTCCCTTTTCATATTTGTAATATGAATTTCTTCTTTCTTCAGCAGTGAGAAACCTGGCTCTCATTACCTACATATTTACCTATTGTTCAACCTTAGTATACAATTAAAGTGGTTTTGGAACTGATAAACCATATTCCTGTGAAAAACCACCAACTAGAACACAGTGTTTGAGTTCAGTTCCTTCTGTCATTCGCCTTGCAGTGTCCAACTAAACCACTGTGTTCCAAAGGTATTAGGTTGGCTCCTTTATTGCCCACACTCTTCAATGTGACTATATGCTTCATCTATAATAATATAGTATATATATATTATTATATATTATATATATATACTATAATAAGTAGACTGATTTTAGACTGCATTCTACCTTTCATCCTGTATCTGGGTTGATTTTTTTTTTAACTTAGAGTAAAAGTCACTCTTTGTGGTATACAGTTCTGTGCGTTATGACAGATGCACAACCATGGATCTTCTACCACAGAACCACACAGAACAAGTCCACACCCCAAAAATTATCTTGTGCAGCCCTTTGTAGTCAACTCCTACTCCATCCCCAACCTGTGACTACCACTGATCTCAATTCCTCCCTACAATTTTATGTTTTCCAGAATGTCACACAGTTGAAAACATACAATAAATCGTCTTTTAGGTCTGACTTCTTTTGTTAGCAAAAAGGATTTAGGATTCATTGGTTGTTGCGTTAATCAATAGTTTATTCCTTTCATTACTGACAATAAAATTATGTACTATTCCATTATATGGGTATGCCTATTTTTTTTCAAGCTGAGGCATTTTTAAACTAAAAAGAATTCATAAACATATTGGCCAGCCTCCCTGATCAGTATATATCATGCTTCTGCAGCACACATTATTTTAGTTTTAGCTCTTGGATCAAGAGTCAGCAAACATTTTCCGTAACAAGCCAGAGAGTAAATATTTTAGGCTTTGCAAGTCACATATCTCTATTGCATATTCATTTTTTTACAATCTTTTAAAAATGCAAAAATCATTCTTAGCTTATGGGCTACACTGCAGGCTATAGTTTGCTGGCCTCTGTGTCTTAGATAAACAACTATATTTACAAGCATTCTAATACTGACTGTATTTCCCCTAGAGGGACAATGAAAAGTCCAAATGCCAAATAAAATGTGAAAAGGTGCTATAAATTCTAATTATTAAGAGGCATGACAAATTACTAGAACTCATACAGCAATTCAGTAATGTGGCAGGATACAAAATCAATGCACAGAAATCAGTTGCTTTCTTATACACTAACAGTGCAACTGTAGAAAGAGAAATTAGAGAAACGATTCCATTTACAATAGCACCAAAAACCATAAGATACCTCAGAATAAACTTAACCAAAGAGGTAAAGGATCTATACTCTAGGAACTACAAAACACTCATGAAAGAAATTGAAGAAGACACAAAAAGATGGAAAAATATTCCATGCTCATGGATCGGAAGAATAAACATTGTTAAAATGTCTATGCTACCCAGAGCAATCTATACCTTCAATGTCATCCCGATCAAAATTCCAATGACATTTTTCAAAGTGCTGGAACAAACAATCCTAAAATTTGTATGGAATCAGAAAAGACCCCGAATCACCAAGGAAATGTTGAAAAAGGAAAACAAAGCTGGGAGCATCACGTTGCCCTATTTCAAGCTATATTACAAAGCAGTGATCACCAAGACAGCATGGTACTGGCACAAAAACAGACAGATAGACCAATGGAACAGAAGAGAGAACCCAGGTATGGACCCTCCACTCTATGGTCAAATAATCTTTGACAAAGCAGGAAAAAACATGCAATGGAAAAAAGACAGTCTCTTCAATAAATGGTGCTGGGAAAATTGGACAGCCACATGCAAAAGAATGAAACTCGACCATTCTCTAACACCATTCACAAAGATAAAGTGGATGAAAGACCTCAATGTGAGACAGGACTCCATCCAAATCCTAGAGGAGAACATAGGCAGTAACCTCTTTGACATCGCCCACAGCAACTTCTTTCAAGATACATCTCCAAAAGCTAGTGAAACAAAAGCAAAAATGAACTTTTGGGACTTCATCAAGATAAAAAGCTTCTGCACAGCAAAGGAAACAGTCAACAAAACAAAGAGGCAACCCACAGAATGGGAGAAGATATTTGCAAATGACACTACAGATAAATGGCTGGTATCCAAGATCTATAAAGAACTTCTCAAACTCAACACCCAAAAAACAAATAATCAAGTCAAAAAGTGGGCAGAAGATATGAAAAGACACTTCTCTGAAGAAGACATACAAATGGCTAACAGACACATGAAAAAATGTTCATCATCATTAGCCATCAGGGAAATTCAAATCAAAACCACATTGAGATACCACCTTATACCAGTTAGAATGGCAAAAATGGACAGGGAAAGAAACAACAAATGTTGGAGAGGTTGTGGAGAAAGGGGAACCCTCTTACACTGTTGGTGGGAATGCAAGCTGGTACAGCCACTTTGGAAAACAGTGTGGAGGTTCCTCAAAAATTTAAAAATAGAGCTACCCTATGACCCAGCAATTGCACTCCTGGGTATTTACCTCAAAGACACAGATGTAGTGAAAAGAAGGGCCATATGCACCCCAATGTTCATAGCAGCAATGTCCACAATAGCCAAACTGTGAAAGAGGCGAGATGCCCTTCAACAGATGAATGGATAAAGAAGATGTGGTCCATATATACAATGGAATATTACTCGGCCATCAGAAAAGATGAATACCCAACTTTTACATCAACATGGATGGGACTGGAGGAGATTATGCTCAGTGAAATAAGTCAAGCAGAGAAAGTCAATTATCATATGGTTTCACTTATTTGTGGAACATAAGGAATAGCATGGAGGACATTAGGAGAAGGAAGGGGAAAATGGGGGGGGGAATCGGAGGGAGAGATGAACCATGAGAGACTATGGACTCTGAGAAACAAACAGGGTTTTAGAGGGGAGGGGGGAGGGGGGATTGGTTAGCCCGGTGATGGGTATTAAGGAGGGCACGTACTGCATGGAGCACTGGGTGTTATACGAAAACAATGGATCGTGGATCACCACATCAAAAACCAATGATGTATTGTATGGTGACTAACATAACATAATAAAATTTAAAAAAAAAAAAGAAAAAACAAGGAAAAAAAAAAGAGGCATGACAACAGTTGATCCGACCGAATGAAGCGAACTTAAAAAAGACTCAGGCAAGGTTTCTTTGGAGCAACTGCTATCAGAAAGAGTGAAATCTAGAGTGAAAAACTGTGCTGGCACAATCTCGCAATCTACAAAGTCATGTTTGCTTAGGGTAAAGACAGTAACATTCACAGTACAAAGTGCTATCAGCTATGAGGTACCCATGGGAGGAATGTGCACGTCTATGTGTGTGTCCAATCTGCCAACAGCTGTTGGTTAAGTTCCACGGAACTCAACAGTTATACTGTTCTACAGTCATCCTCTGCTGAAACAATTGTAAAGAAAACCAGCAGGTATTCTTTAGTTAAAAACAATATATAATATGTCCTAAACAAAAGCTGCCCAAATCTGTTCAGTGAATGTGTTAAACATAACGCGTATTTTTAATTGTAAAGGCAAAACAAAATTACAAACAAGCAATTAAATAATATAAACAATATAATCCTAGATGATCCAACATACAACATCCTTTCCTTCCTTAGCTACCCCAACCGCCGTGTCCTATAATCCACGAAAGTATACAAATCCACTCATTCAGCTTTCCTCCTGTGGGATCTACCCCCTCTGCCTGCCATGCCCTTCTCGACCACCCTGCTTTGGCTAGCTAACTCACATCTGGTCTCCCCTCCTCCAGGCCTTCTTCCCTATCCCCTGCAAGCTGGCTCCCCCTGTCCCTGTAACATGGGCACATTATCACACTGCAACTGAAATCATCTGTTAACTGGTCTGCTTCATCCCTTAGACTGTAGTGTCTTAGAGAGCTTAACATATCTTATTTGTATTTGGAATCCTCGGTGTGTAGCACATACTGGTCAATTGAAAACTTGTTCTGCTTTATCTTTAAATGTCTTACCCTGTGTTTAAAATCTGTGGGTAACCACAATTTGTAAGAAGTGAAGGAAATTCTTAAATAAAACCAGCCAGTATTTTGTTTTACAATGATAAGCAAATCATTTGACTAAAAGCAGCACTCCATGTTCCCATCAACTTCAGACGTTTCAATGCCAAGTGACAAAATGCTGACATTTTGAGTTTTCTTTAATGAAGAACATTCACATTCTCAAAATCAGCAAGCCAGAGTTGTGCTTTTCACAGCTGAGACAGAAGATGCAACTGATAATTAGGTTATTCAAACAGATTCCAGACTGGGATGAGCCGCAAGTTCAAAGTCGCCCTTCTGACCTTTTGGAGGAAAGATACGCAGACATAGCTTTCTGAAACTAACTGCATGTGACAAATTTGAGCTGAAAACACAGTTTTATTTATTTTATGTGCTAAAAAAAGAAGTACAATCTAATAGGCCCTCAGTTGATCCAAACTACACTGGCAAGGTAGGATTAAATTACCCTAGTGTGCTAAATGCAGTTTAAAAAACAACAAAAGATAGATACCTGCTTTGCAGAGGCTGAATCTTAGGAGACTTGGGCAGCTTAGAAGCTTCAATCGCAAGAAGCTGGATGGCACCGTTATCAGACGCAATGGCTAAGTAGTGGGACCCCTGGCAGAATGTAAGTGTCTTGACACGTCCTCCAATTCGGCTGTATGTAAGAGTAGATCTGCACGAAAGAAAACAGAATGCATTTCTGCAATGACTACAAAAGCATTACTATTGTTATCATTAAATAAATATCCACATGGCTATTAACCAACAAAATTACTATTCTGAGGTCTGTTTCACCTCCTTGTTCTAACAAACCTTAGAATCCTGCTCAAAAGCACTGGCACAAAATCAACTTTTCTTATATTTTCAAATGGCCATCCCCACACACTTCTATCACAGAAAGACTGTCCATCCTCCTTTCCAACTGGAGCTCCCCATTCTGTTCCCCTCATCCAATTCTCCTTCCACTCTTGCAATACCTTAAGCCCTATTCTTGCACCCTTCAGTAATTCTGTAATTCCTAGGATGCAGCCTGACCACAGCAGGAAAAGCACTGGCTTTGGAGTGAAAGACCCGAGTTCCAGTACTGACCACCCATATGACCTTGGTCAAGCCACTTACCCTGCTGTGTATCAGTTTACTCGTCTACAAAACAGGACTGCCCTAACTTCTCTACTTGGAACACAGTGAAGCTCAAATAATATGTAAATAATAAAATACTCATAAATGCAAAATATTTATTATAATATTCAGTCTCTCCCACACACATGCTGACCTCTCAAGCTGTCTACTTCCCTTTCTCAAATTCACTGCCAAACTTCTTGAATACATGAATTACACATGGTGCCTCCTATGATCACCAATTCCCTCTTTCAATACCTTCAGTACCTCCTTCATAAGGTGCATATTCATCATTCTACGGGGCCATACTTCTGAAAGATCACAAGCCCCTAATCACCAAATTTATTCATCTCCATCTTTTCTGTTTGTTTCATTTTATTATACAGGCTAATACATACTACAGAATATTATTAAAACTATAGAAAAGAATATGGAAAAGTAAAAACATTTATAATTCTATTACCCAGAAACACTATTTACATTGTTATAGAACAAAGGGTTTTCTAGCATATTATAATATATTCATATTTGCTTTTTAAATAAATATGGAATGATATGTTGTATTTTCTTTTTATTAATCATTACTCTCTAGTTCACTTTTTCTTAATCACAGCTTTGTTGGGACACAATACCATAACGTATAATATTTTAAAGTGTATAATTCCATGATTTTTAGTATGTTAACAGAATTCTGCATAGATCACCGGTATCTAATTCTACATTTTCATCATTCCTAAGAAACCCAAAAAAGAAACCTACCTCACATCCATTAACATTCACTCCTCATTTTCCTCTCCTGACAGCCCCTGGAAACAAATTTTCTTAAGTTTTCTATGAATTTGCCTATTCTGGAGATTTCATATGAACGCAGTCATATATGTTGCCTTTTGTATCTGGCTTCTTTCACCTAACATAGTGTTTTCAAGGTTCATCCATTCCTTTTTATAGCCAAGTATTATTCCATTCGAGGAAATACCACATTTTCTTTATCCATTCATCAGCTGATGAACATTTGCTTCTGCCTTTTAGCTATTATGAATAATGCTGCTGTAAATATTTGTGTATAAGTCTTTGGACACACTTCTCAAACATAGTGCCTACAGGGACCCAACCAGTATGGTAGATGAGTAAAGAGAACCAGGCACAAGGCACTGGGAGAGAAAGGAATACCAGTATTGCAGGGTCTCTTGCATTTGTTCGCTCGCTCTCTCTCCCTCTCTTTTAATACTGAGATATAATTTACCTATCATGAAATTCACTCTTTTAAAGAGATAGTGTAGTCACTAAGTTTTGTAACCATTACCTTTATGTAATTCAAGAACCTTTACATCACCTCAAAAAGAAACCCCATATACATCAGCAGTCACTCCCCAATCCTCTGTTCCCCCCAGCTCCTGACAACTATAGATGGTCCTTGACTTACATTTTTCAACTTTATGATGGTATGAAAGCAACAGGCATTCAGTTGAAACGTACTTCAAACTTTGAATTTGATCTTCTCCTTGCTAGGACACGCCATACAATCTACTCATAATGCTCACCAGCGGCAGTGAGCCACAACTCCCAGGCAGCCATGTGATCACAAGGGTAAAAAACCAACATATGTACAACCATTATGAACCATTCTGTTTTTCTTTCAGTATTCAACAAATTACATAAGATATTCAATGCTTTATTATAAAATAGGCCTTGTGTTAAATGATTTTGCCCAACTGTAGGCTAATGTAGGCTAAGCACACTGAAGGTGTGCTAGGCTAAGCTATGATGTTTGGTAGGTTGGGTGTATTGAATGCACTTTTGACTTACGGTATTTTCAACATATGATGGTTTTATCACAACATAACCCCATCATAAATCAAGGAAGATCTGTATGCCAGCTGGCCTTTGAATCAGGCTTCTTTCACTTAGCATGTTTTCAAGGTTTATCCATGTTGTAGCATGTGCATTTCATTCTTTTTTGTGGCTAAATATTCCATTGTATACAGAATACACATTTTGTTTCTCCATTCAACAGCTTACAGACATTGTGGCTTCCACTTTGGGGCTATTATGAATAATGCTGCTGTGAACACGTGTGTATAGATTTTTGTGTGAACAAATGTTTTCAACTGTCTTCAGTTTATACCTACGAGTGGAATTGAGGGGTCATTATTAGGTAACTCTTGTGTTTAGCATTTGAGAAACTGCCAAACTTTTCCACAGTTACTGCACCATTTTACATTCCTACCAGCAACATATAAAGGTACCATTTTCTCCACATCCTCTCCAGCACTTGTTATTGTCTTTTTGATTACAGCCATTCTAGTGGGTGTGAAATAGTATTTCACTATGGTTTTAATTTGCATTTCCCTTGTGACTAATCATGTGGAGCAGCTTTCTGTATATTTATTGGTCCTATCTGGAGGAACATCTATTTGAATCCACTGTCTATTTTTTAATTGTCCTTTTATTCTTGAATTGAAAAAGTATGTGTGTGTGTGTGTGTATTATATTTATAAGTATTTCTCTGGTTCTGGGGGTTGTCCTTGCACTTTTTTTGACAATGTCCTTTGAAGCACAAATGTTTGTAATTTTGATGAAGTCTCACTTGTCTATTTTTTCTTTTGTCACATATGCTCTTGAGATTATGTTTTAGAAACTCTTGCCAAAAAGCAAATCTGGAAGTGTGAGTTCTCCATCTTGGTTCTTTCAAGAGTATTTTGGCTATTTAAGTCATTCGCATTTCTTTATGAATTTTAGAATCAGGATGTCAATTTCTGCAGAAATGCTGATTATTTCACAGGGATTGCATTGAATGTGTACATCAATTTGGGGAGGGCTGCTATCTTAACAATGTTAAGTATTCCATTAAATGAACACAGGATGAACATAGGATGTCTTTCCATTTATTTAGATCTTCTATAATTTTTTTCAATGATGTTTTGTGGTCTTTAATATACTATAGTTTTCAGTACTTTTTTGATAAATTTATTCCTAAGTATTTTATTCTTTTTGATGCTATTGTAAATAGAATTGTTTTCTTAACTTCACTTTTAGATCATTCATTGTTAGCACAGAAATGCAATCGGTTTTATTGTATATACAAATACAGCATCATCTTGTATTCTGCAACTTTGCTGAACTCATTTGTTAGTTTTAAAAGGTCTTTCTTTTCATTGCTTAAGATACTCTATAAACAAAATTATGTTGTCTGCTAATTTAGTTTTACTTCTTCCCTTCTAATCTGTAGGCCTTTTATTTCTTTTCCTTATCTAACTGCCCTAAAACCTCTAGGAAGTGACAAAAGTGGACATCCTTAACTGGCTCCTCATCTTAGGAGGAAAGCTTTCATTCTTTCAATATGTCAGCTATGGGGTTTTTTTGTAGATGTCCTTTATCAGTTCTATTACTAGTTTGTTGAATTGTTTTTAATCATAAAAGGGTGTGAGATTTTGCAAATGCTTTCTGTTCAGATGATCACTTGGTCTTTAGCTTTTGTTCTATTAATAGGATATATTCCTTGATTGATTTTCATATGCTGAACAAGGTTTGCAGTCTTGGCATAAACTGAACTTGCTCATGGCATGTAATCATTTTAATATGCTGGATTCAGTTTACTAATATGTAGTTTAGGATTTTTATGCTTATATTAATTATGGGTATTGGTCTATTGTTTTCTTGTAACGTATCTGTCTGGTTACGGCATTAGGGTAATATTGGCCTTATAGAATGAGTTAGGAAATGTTCCCTCATCTGTTTTTTGGGAAGAGTTTTTGAAAGATGGGTGTTATTTCATTAACTGTTTGGTAGAATTCACCATGAGGCCTGGGCTTTTCTTTGTGGGAATTTTTTTTTTTTAATAACTAATTAAATCTTTTTGTTACAGGTCTATTCAGATTTTCTATTTCTTCCTGAGTCACTTTTTTAAAGATTTTTACTTGTTTGAGAGAGAGCAGAGAGAGAGAGAGAGAGAGAGAGAGAACAAGCAGGGGGGAGGGGCAGAGGGAGAAGGAGAAGCAGGCTCCCCGCTGAGCAGGGAGACCCATGCGGGGCTCGATCCCAGGACCCTGGGATCATGACCTGAGCCGACGGCAGATGCTTAACCAACTGAGCCACCCAGGTGCCCCTCTTCTTGAGTCATTTTTTGACAGCTTACGTCTCCTTGGAATTTGTCCATTTCATCTAGGTTATTTGTTGACATACAATTGTTCATAGTATTTTTGTCATAATTCCTTTTATTACTTGTCATGTCAGTACTAATACTCCTCTCTCATTCCTAATTTTAGTAATTTTAGTCCTCTCTTTTTTATATTGGTTACTGAAGAAAAAGTTTGACAATTTTGATCTTTCCAAAGAATAAACTTTTGCTTTTGTTGATTTTTCTTTATTTCCCCTTTAGTCTTTATTATGTCCTTCCTTCTACTTGCTTTGGGTTTACTTTGCTCTTCTTTTACTTAGTTTCCTAAGGTGAAGGCTAAGTTAATTGATTTAAGATCTTTCTTTTTAAATATAGATGTTTACAGCTATAAATTACTCTCTAAACACTCCTTTAGCTGCATTCCATAAGTTTTGGCA